ATTCGATTTTGACCCGTATTATTCGATATTTTTCCCTGTTCGAATTTTTTATCTTGGTTTGTACATCGTGTTATAGCCGCCTTAATCGAAGAATTTTCAATGAATTTCGTGGACAAAAGCGCTTTTTGGTTAACTATTTATGATTCATTTACTCGAACAGTATTTTCTGCACGAAGAAGATGGGGAGAACAGGGTTTCAAGAGTCAGAATTACGTTATTCTCTTGAACTTGACAATATAGTCTTATAACCTACATTTATGTATTGATATTAACTGTTTTGGCTTCAAAGTCTACTCACAAAGGAACATGAGCAATATTTCTTTTAATTCTCTATTTGATTTAAGAAGCAAAATAAATAATTTGCTACGCACATTCCAGGGTTTGATCTTTGCCCCTCGAAGCGTTATCTCTTTAATTTTTCATTAAAAAATAACGATTCATTAAAAAATATCGATAAATTATAAAATCTAAAGCAATTACGAGATAGGTTTTAAGGAAATATTAGCCTGTATTTACGCTTTAAATGAAGCATTTTGATGTTAAAGCGAGCCGTGCGAATTTGCATGCTTTTGAAACGTGGTTGCATAACAAGCTAATTACGTATGCCAAAATCCGAAACCTGGAACTGGAATTGGAGTTCCAGATTGAGTTATTCGATGAGTTTGATGAGTATGGCATAAACGCTCTTACATACAGCTTTTAAAACTGACGTTCGAAATTTTGAACTTATTTTTACTTCTCCTTTAGATTCTTAGATACTCTGATACTAGTAAACCGTCCCAACCAGGGTCTGGTTTATCATTACTTCAAGACGTCACGAAATATTTTATCAGTAGTTTTGGAAGATCAACCAACTAAATCCTCCATACATGTTGAAACCAGCTTATTCTACCACATTATTCTACAATATAACAGTGGTCATATAAAGCAGTAATCGACCGTCTATTTTTTATATTTTAAGTTAAGTTTCAACTCACCAAATCACTAACAACTGAGCCTGTCGTTTCAATCCAGTGTACTTCAATCTCGAACGCATGCGTGTTGCAATAGTTACCATGGTAACGTACAACTGCCCATTCAGGACGTTCGCTTTTTCTTTGTGCGTCACAGTTGACGTTGACCGTCTTGTAAGGTGGTCCATTGCCACAATCTGTTATCGTAAAACAATAAGTTTGGATTTATCAACAGAAGGGAATCAAGGGAATTACACGTGGTCTGAAGTGGGAAGACATAACACCCAAGGTAAAGAGGTCTATTTTAGACCACGTGTCAGTCTTTTAAAAACTGCACCCTTTGCAGTATAGATAGACTAGATTTATCAAAACCCACTGCGTTTCCAAACAGCCAGAGAGATTTCTACGGATGAATCCTTATCAGTGCATAAGTAGATACTGTTTTCCAAAACAATTATCCACTGGATAAGATTCGTCGGATTACGCTATCCACCCTTTGAGAAACCGGGCCCTGAAGTTTATCGAAACGGCCAAAAAACGTGTTGTAGGCCTAATACGCCCAAGAGGTCTATTGGGAATAACTTACCATCACTCATTGAGTTTTGAAAAGATCTACCTCGGCTCCTCATGAAAGCGCCCTGACGGAACAAAGGGGAACTTTCAAGATACTCGGGTAACTCTTGATCTGGCACGAGGAATGCTGGGATACTCCTTGAGGGGGGCTTGGGCCGACTAATAGCGACTTCGAACCAGTCTTCTTGGAAGTGTTCTAATGGTAAATCCAGCATGACAGACGACTGGTACATCCTCTGCGATCGTTTTTTATCTGACGTGTCTGTTGAATACAAAAGCGAATGTTTATTTTTGATGATAAAATAACATGAAACGTAGTTAAAATTTCCAGTATTTTGTGATGTCAATCCTTGTTGCTTCTCTGCTTAATTGCTTAGACGTGGGTTATTATCTGRATTACCATTTTATTCATTTCATTGGATCAATACACTACAATCGAGGCATTGCATCATCACGTGCCAGCTCACATGATAGCATGGTCTGCCTGTGGCGAGATGGCACAACAATAAAATCCCTAAAGGCCGATTTAGACGGCACGATTTTCGCCTACAACTATCGTATACAACACGCTCGCGTCTGTTGTGGGCGAGTTGTAGGCTTGATTTACACGCTACGACTCGAGTTGTAGGGTGGCGCGAGCGTGTTGTATACGATAGTCGTAGGCGAAAATCGTACCGTCTAAACCGGCCTTAACGATGATATTATTCCTGCCATCTAACATGGCTGCCGTCACGTGATGGTGCAAAACCTCCATACCGTTCCTTTGTGGCCTCATTAGAATGTTATACCACAGATATTTGGCATTACCTTCTTTTTCATTCCATTTTTCTTTTGCTGTYATGGAGAAGATTGCGAAACCACAGACGAACTTCTGTCTACTGCTTCCTGAGGCGTGCTGGAATATCTTGGCATCAACCATTTTCTTTATTGAAAAACAATTTAAACAATACAAATAAGATTTTAAATAAGATAACAAAATATTTCTCCAACGCGTTTCGTTTGTATTTCACAAACGTCTTCAGGGAATTTACAATAAACTGGTATACAAGCATTGAGCGTATTACCTAAAATTATTGCATTACTTGATTAAAACTGACAATGAAACCGACCTACCAATGTAGGTACGGTTTGAACGTGAAGGGACGGACTACTGTCTGTGATTTAGGCCCTGGCTAAACGAGGAAACATGTTTCCAGAAACATATTTCCCTAAATGTTCCCTAAGGTGGCAAAACTGTCAGGAAACATCGGAAAACAATGTTTCCATGCGTCTTGGAAGCATGAAATGTTTCTGCCGCACAGCAAAAACATTTTTTGCGTCTTGGAAGCAAAATTTGTTGCGCGCAGCAATGTTTCGCATGTGGCTAAACTGGGACACATCGAGGAAACATGCGCGAGGCAAACATGTTTTCTCGTTTAGCCAGAACCTGAGTGGAGAAATGAGAAGTAAAAAGAAAGAAGAACGAGAAAGAGAGAGTGTGCATGCTTGTGAGTGACTGAGAGACTAATTAGTGAGTATTGGAGGGATGCAGTTGGGGAATTTGATGAGAACATAAATCCATTATTGGGGGGTGAGCGAAAAAACAAACTTGTTATCGCTACAATCACCATCGCAAAGTAGTGGAACACTGGAACAGCTCAACGGAGTTAAATTGAACGCATGTGAAGACGCCATTGGCAGCCGCTATACAGAGTTCATTTTTTAAGGCCAGGGTCAGTGAGAAATATGCAGGCACAGAGATAGATCCCAATACTAACCTGTGCTAGTGCAACAGCCTCCTTTCTGTCATCGAGCCCGATGTTATGCATCATCCACCATATTGCTTCAATGCTTAGAAAACATGCCGAACCCAACCCCTTCGTGGGGGGTAGGAATGGAAAACTATTTCTGTGCGAAATAAAAACACCGTTGGTGACAGCGTTAGTTTAAATATATTAACGGTATTAAATATTTATATAATTCATCATATTTATGCCATATTTATGACTTGTGTTTTATTTAAAACATCTTTCAATGTCTCATCACCAGATTAGGCATCACATGTGAGTAGAGTTTGTTAGGACTCTCTGGTCCTTCGTTTAAAATGTTTCTCCGGGTTGGCACCTGCATGTGACAACAGCGGTAAGACAGGAAACGCAGACTATAATATAAATGAACAAAGTTGTTGGATTTTGCTTTGCTTTTCTGTTTTGTTGTTTGTTTGTTTGTTTTTCTTGTTTTTGCTTTTCGTTTTGCCTCGCTGTGTTCAAGCATTGGATGTGATGTACTTACGATTCATCGAGCATGGCTTCTGCGATGGACTCTAGTGGTGAAGTCTTGTTCAGCGTCCCTTCTTGTGCGTCGTCCGCTGACTCATCTGTGGCACTCCCCGCTGTCTCGCTGATAAAAAAAAAGGTTTAAGCTAAGATTTACCTCGAAAACTCGAATAAGAAAACGCAGGGAAGAATGTGAAGTGCGCACACTAAACAAAACGGTATTTTACAAAGAGAAGGCAAAAAAATGAAGAATAGTGGTTAAATAAGAACGATTAAAGAACCTAGTATTTTCTGGCGAGCTTTGACTTTCGGTTGTGTCTTTCTCTGATATCGGAGCAGTGCCTTTTTCGTCTTTCTTCACAGCCGCATCTTGTCCAGGTAATTGTTGCTGTTGTTCTTTCCTGGGCTCTGGCGTTCGAGATCCATTTTTAGGAAGTATTTTTACCTGGATAAAAATAAGAATATCGATATACTAATCCAAACCTGTTTTTGATTATTCCTGAATTTACTTTGATAAATCCTTGTCTTTCTTTCTTTATTTTTTCTTTCTGGGGCGTGGGGTTTGATTGCTGGAGTGAGTAAAGTTTGTTATGGTTTTTCTCCGGGTTTTCTTGTTCTCCTCCGTAAAAATTAGCAATAGTCCCCTTCACAGTTCCCTGCGCCATCTTGAAAGGTAGCCGTGCCTTTGCATCGAAGCAAAGGCCTTGCAAAGATAGACCTTTTTTAACACAAAGGATACATATTCACATCTCTCTATCATTGGAAGGTCACGCCGTTATCGCTTCGATGCACAGCCACGGTTACCTTTCAATTTGGCGCAGGGAACTGTGAAGGGGACCATGCGATCTGAGAATGAGCCATGCCAGGAAATGCGTATAAGATTCCGAATAGGGAACCCTGTGTTGTGTAGGTAGAGAGAAGCCTGGAGAGAGATAGAGAGGGAGAGTCGTCGTTGTTTTCGAAGAGGATAGCGTGTTGTTGTTATTTAATAAAACGAAAAATCAATCGTATAGACTTCGTTCAATTAAGACCAGCCACATGATTATTGACAGAGTAGATTTTTCACCATCTTCTACGTTGTCTGATCTAAAACGAAAGGAAGAAAATTTTTTTTAACATACGTTAGGAGAGAGCGGTCTTCTTCTAGCCTTGCTTCTCTTTATCCCATTCAACATTTCAAGGTACTTGAGAATTCCTTCTATGCGAGAGTCTTCTTCATTAGTATTTTTCCTGTCCCCTTTCTTCTCTTCGCAGTTGTATCTTTTGTAGTTGGTGTCGGGGAGCAACAGGAAACGAGCCTTCCAGTATCGGAGGGACTGAAATGGAATAGCCAATTCATTTAAAGGTAAATTTATTTGATTTCTTAAAGATTTTGTTTTTATCACGTTCATGATTTTAGCCCATCCATCTCATATCATAAAATCTCATCCCAGCCTAAGCCATACCATCTCAGTCCCTATCAACTTACCTCACCTCACCTCACCTCACCTCACCTCACCTCACCTCACCTCACCTCACCTCACCTCACCTCACCCTCATCCCAAACTAACCTATACTATCTCATTGCCTATCAACTCACCTCGTCCCATGCAATCCCACCCCACCACATTTTATATCAACTAACATCGATCATCCCATCTCATCTCATCATATTTTCTATCATCTTATGTCATCTCATCTCGTTACATCGCATCCCACCCCTTCCGATCTTCAAATTCCAGTTCCAGTCATGTTTACTAAACTTGGTATCCTTCATTAATTCTATTCCATCTTTCACTTGTCGTTCTCGTGTTTTTTTCTTTTCTTGTATTACTATTTACCTCCACCAGTGCGGTAAAGTCTTGGTCACCACTGATGTGCTGGTCAAGGTAGTTCCAGTTGTACTTATCCAGTTCATCGTGTTGGAATTCAGCCTCTTTGTAGTAATACTGTTTGGCATGTCTTGCCCACAGACGATACCTGGTGTCAAACAAGTTGGATTACGATCCTTAACGAGGTATAAATATACCCTGGGCTCCAGAGGCATAAATATGCCCTGGGCTCCAGAGGTATAAATATACCCTGGGCTCCAGAGGTTCTATCTCATCGCTTCTCGTACCTCTGGACCCCAGCGTACTACCAATAGGCCATTTGAAGGAAATAATAACATGACTGTTACTGTATGGCAAAATAAAATCTTTTCTTCCAAGATCATACCTGTACTGGATGGGATTGACCTCACGTCTTACGTGACGAGGTCGGTACCGCGTCACGCTGATTTGTGATCGTTTGGGAATCACACTCAGCCTGTGAATGTTACGCCCAAGACTCAGGAAGCATTCTTCTGACTCAAACTCGTCATTTTGAGCAATGTAATATGATTGGCCTCGCTCTTGATAAGGAGGGTTGGTCAAAATCTGGAAACCCTGTTAAGAAAAAAAACATATAGAATTCATGGTTTCAGTTCAGAAAATAGCGAACCAATGACTGTTGCAGCAGTTCTCCCAGTGGAATACAAATCTTGTCCCATAAACAACTATACACATTAGACCCCTTGCAGCACTTTGGAATGCAGCTCAATCTGGGGGACAAAACAATAGGTTACAATTCTCAGGAGATTGGAATTCTTTTGTTTTGTCCCCCAGATCAAGCTGCTTTGACGTCACATGCAAGGGGTCTACATAGGATATCTTTTGTATCTCTTTACCTTGGATAATCTTTGAGCTACTAGTTCAAGAATCATTGATTGTGCAGATACTGGGTGTCTACTCTGTTCCATCCTGTTGGTAAATAATTATCAAGACAAATGTTAAGAATTTTGGATTAATTTCTGACCACTGCTATATGATGTTTGTGTTTTGGTTTGTTCCTGGTCCTAGGCCTGCTCGCAGCGATCTCATCATTATCAAGTTCATCATCGCTAGCATCATCATCACCATCATTCCTCTCGACCCTTTTTTTCAGGATTACTAGATCTTTGCCTGCTCACAGCATACTCATCATCATTTTCATCATCATAACCATCATCATCATCACCATCATCATCATCATCATCACCATCATCCCTCCAGATCCTCACCTTGCAGGATTACTAGTAGATCTTTGCCTGCTCACAGCATACTCATCATCATTTTCATCATCATAACCATCATCATCATTACCACCATCCCTCCTGACCCTTACCTTGCAGGATTACTAGTACATCTTTGCCTGCTCACAGCATACTTATCATCATCATCATCATCACCATCATCATCATCATCCTATCCCTTACCTTGCAGGATAACTAGATCTTTGCCTGCTCACAGCATACTCATCATCATTTTCATCATCATAACCATCATTATCATCACCATCATCCCTCCTGRCCCTTACCTTGCAGGATTACTAGTACATCTTTGCCTGCTCATAGCATACTCATCATCATCACCAACACACAGCTCATAGTGAAACTCCAGGTAATCATTACCAAGTGTTTTCATATCCGGGCAGTACTCTGAGGTCAGGGGGAGGCATGCTGGTAGCACTAGGGACTCCCAATCAACACTAGTCTAGAGTATAAGATCGAGTCAGTAAGATACGATATGACCATGGGTGGTATAAGAGAGCACAAATGAAGAAAAAACTGAACTTTTTTAACTTTTACAACATAAAGTATATTTTTGGCAATTAATTAAGGTATAAACCACTAGTGTACTATGTAATATATACAGTATGAGTGGCCGTGTTGTATCAGATATACAACCACGAGGCGTAGCCGAGTGATTGTATATCTCATACAACACGGACACGAATACTGCATGTATATGACTTATCAAACGTCTAGGTTAGTTCCTTTGTGTTTCACTAAAATTTTCAAAATTAAAGTGAATTTGGCCAAGAAAATCCAACTTAAAGTTTATGCAAATGAACACAGTTTTGTATCAGATTTACAACACTCTTCATGGTCATGGTTTCTGTTGTGTTTTCCTCATGAACTATTAATGAGTTTGATAAATAATATTATAAAAGGATAGCAATCCTCAAGGTAAGGAAATTCTTTTGTTTTGATCCAATATTTTTGCACAGGGTACAGAGGATAGCGCGTCAGCCCTCGCCTCTCACCACCTCAATTCTTTTGGATCGAGTAAAACAAATATGCCGGTTTCATGGATGTGGTTTCATGGATGTGCTGTCCTGTCTGTGCTCTCGTGTTGTTCCCCTTCTTCACACAGCAACACATATTTAAGTGCTGACGTACCCTCAGTCTGTTCTGATTAAATACTTCGCATGGTCAAAGGACTTTACAAACCGTTATAGTTGCTGTCCAATCATGTTCCACTTTCTTCGATGAATGATGAAAGAAGCTTGTGCGAACCGGTGCACGAGGTCTACGTAACGATGACCCACGATCCGGCGTCAAAGGAGTTTCCAATGAACCCTTTTTCTGCACCTCTTGAAGTACTGGCGGTTCATTAAGAGAATCAAGAAAAGATCTCTCCCCGCTCTCGGTGGACAGGCTGATTCTAGCCACTTCGGCATCATCGGGATCTTCTACTTCGTATACTTCGTCTTCTTCCTCGAACTCATCGCTGTCCTGTGACTGGATAGTAATGATTCGTTTGCGGGCATCAGCTACACCTAAGGTAGCTTCTTTGGCAGCTTTTGGCTTAATCAAGTAGAAACAAAATGAAAATGAATAACAATGGAAAATCTGTTTAAGAAACTAAATCGTTTCAGGTAAAAGCGAAATTGCACAGGGTGTCTACTGTAAATCATGATCAGATGCGCGCAACGCCCCTTTCAGTGGTGATACGACGACGAGTACGAGATTGAGTACAAGTACGAGTTTCAAAATTTGTCCTGTGCACGTGGTTAACACTGAATCGTAGTAGGTTTCCAATTTTTTACAATCTAAAGTTTCAACCTACGTACTCGATCACTACTACAAAAAGATAGTGCTTCTCTTTAAAAGTTAAAAACTCGTACTTGTACTCGTTCTCGTACTCTTCGTCGGATCTAAAGATCTTGTGCCCAGAGCCCTTATGCGAGGAGTCAGCGGTAAAAAGTTAATATAACTAACCTTCTGTGGTGTGTCATCGTCTTTCTTCTCATTCTGCTTCTCGAAGTGTCTGTGGATACTTTCCCCGTCTGGCCCAATGGGAAAACAATGCGCCCAGCGATGTCGATTACAGGTCCATCTGAAATACAAGGATATATTAGCTAATGGTGTCTTTTAGGGAAAAAAATCTTTTAATATAAATTTCTGCTATTAAAATGAGACTAAAAAATACGTTGATTTTAATGAAAAACTCGCGTCTTTATGATAATACGTTCATGATGAAGAAGATGACGACGACGATGATGCTAATGAGAGCTGATAATAATAATAATCATCATAACATTCGTTTGCTGGACTGGCTAGAAACGTCATGTATGTTCCATCGTTGTGTTTGTCAGCAAAAAAAAATTTGGTAATCACATTTCTATAACTACATGATGTACTACTAAATGACCTTAACACCAAGTCGATCATTCAACTCTTTTCATTCATTTACATATCGATTAACAACTGACACGTGACTGTCACGTGTCGTGTCATTACCTGCAAGGAATATCGAGTGGTTTGAAGGGATTGAACAAAGTGCGTCGAGGATCATGGGTAACGCGGGAAAGAAAGCGCGGGAAATGTCTTGGCGCGCCTGCGCTACCAACGACGACTTGATCCATTTCAATTCGGAATTCATCGTCATCATTCTGATGGCCAGGGGAGTAACCTGAAATTCAAAACCATGAACTCTCAATATTTTATCGAGCCTGAACTGATCTAAGTCAGATCACGCAGTCACAGATCAATCGACTTAGAGTTTAACTTGTCTTGGGTTTTGCTAGCCTCCTACACAGACGTTCTTAGGGTCTGTCACACAACGTAGGACGCTAGGGTTTAATTATCATTTGATAACTGTGCATGAGTTTGTAAATCTAAAATATCATAAAAATCTGTCAGATCGACCAACAAATTCATTATCTTTTCATTGTTTCTACGTAATCGCTCATAATGAAATGCCAAGAATATTTTCTAAATTGAAAAGCGTGGCAAATATCAACAAGGGAAGGAGTCGGCGTTTGGTCAACTGCGTTTTAAGCCACTGAAAAACCCGTCGGTGAAGCTGGTGTGAAGCAGACAAGAAAAGTCTTCGGAAATTTCTTCCAGCAAATGCCATTGATATAAAGACAGAAGAAAGGAGAAAATGAAGAGCAGCTTGATGTACCCTCATTCGTTCTCAAGCGCGCCTGTGCACGCTGATTTGGATCAGAACGAACATAAACACACAAAAAATGGGTCATTTCTAGACTAGACGTACCCTTTGATAGTTGCGCGTATATCGTGTGATCCATGGACGCTGAGATGCGATATTTTGTGATATCTGTTTGTGAGTGTCTTGCAGGCTGCAAGAGAACGCAGTCAGTCAGAATATCAAATCAAATAATGAGATCATAGTCAAAAATGTTTTTTTCATTCGGCCGGTTTACCAGTTTAGGCTCGCTAATGAACAGTTTATGTCAAAATCCTCCAGGCGGATGTAAATATGGGTGCGGCTAAATTACAGATCGTATAGGGATTTATCGTGTTAGAATAAACGGAGCGAAACCAGAGAACCCGGGGAAAAATCCTTGAATAAAGGGAAAGACAAAACCAGCTTTACTCACATGTGATACTAAGTCTGGGAATCAAACCCGAGACCCCAGAGGTGAGAGGTGAGTGCACTATTGCTAAATCCTCTTCCATTCCTTTTTATTATTACTGTATTCTCAGTATTCTCAGACCTCAGAGGTGAGAGAAGGGTGCACTACTGCTAAATCATCTTCCATTCCTTTTATTAATACTGTATTCTCAGTATTCTCAGACCTCAGAGGTGAGAGGAGAGTGCACTATTGCTAAATCATCTTCCACTCCTTTTATTAATACTGTATTCTCAGTATTCTCTTACCTCAGAGGTGAGAGGAGAGTGCACTATTGCTAAATCATCTTCCACTCCTTTTATTAATACTGACTATTCTTGCTAATCACTATGGACCCCTATGGGCCCCAGGGCCCTATGGATACCAGCTATGCTGAATGGGCCACCCTGTCGAAATAAAAGTTATCAATCAATCAATCACTCACCGACCTCGAAGATGATGGTATGGATATAGCACCATTGACCGAGTCACGTGGGGAATATTCTCGAATCACATTACCATCGTCACGTGACTTGTTCAATTTCTCGAGGTCCGAAGAGCTGTTGGGTCGAGAAAACGAAGGAGCAGAACGTGAGGATTTACCGCGATCGACGTTCTTTGCTTTTTGTTTAGCCGAGGTTGCCGCGCGGAATACATTGGCATCGTATTCTTTGTAGTTTATGAAATCTGGGATTTGATTGGCAAGTTGGTCTTTGGCGTTCATTGGAAGGAAATTTTTGTGCAGACCTATGAGGAAAATCAAAATATCTTAATTAACAAATTAATAGTTAGATTCAATTTCTATCTACCCTATAGTCCAGACGCTTGTCTTTTCTCCTCCTTATCCCTCGACGTACATGCACTCAATTCCACCGTAAGCCCGAGCACAGATCGAGCGATTTTCGAGTCAGTGAAACATACCGCATTGATTTGCAGCACAAATACGACATGCTCTAACACTGAAATGGTTCCCCATTGTTTCCAGTAATTTATCCAGCTACATCCCGGCGTAGTTAACCCTACGGTAAGATACGACACGGCTACAGTACGGCTACGAATTTGCGTATTGTTTTCTATTCATATTAAAACCGCCTTTTTAAACAACTTGTTACCTTTCATGTATGGATTTTCCTCTGGTTTCACGTTAAAGTAGTTCAACACAACATCCGGTATCTTGACGCGAGGTCGAAAGGAATCATGTTTGTTCTTGGCCTTGTGTGATGTATAGAAGCTATGGTTCATCCAGTGTGGGATGTTATAGTCATCACCGATGTTGACCCTACAATCGCCATCTTTATTATAAAACTTCAACAGAGGTACTGAATGCAATGGCTGTTCTGCCATGCAAACCAAATCTACAGCCACACCTGAAACATTTTGAAACGATAGAGGTTTTGCACCATCACGTGCCAGCAACATAATCCAGCTTGGACTGCCTGTGGTTAGATGGCAGAACAATAAAATCCCTTTGCTCTTGGGATTTGAATTCTTTCTCATGTAAAACGATTGTATTGTTTCTGCCATCTAACATGGCTGCYGTCACGTGATGGTGCAAAACCTCTCCATGTTTTCCCATTCCAGACCACGTGTTATTTGCTAGAGTATTATTTCTTTGTTCAACGGTTGTACATGAGAAGACACATGAATAGACCCCTTGCATGTGACGTCAAAGCGGCTCAATTTGGAGGACAAAAAAATTTCAATATCCTGAGAATTGAAAACCTATCTTTTTGCCCTCCAAATTGAGCTGCATTCCCATGTGCTTGCAAGGAGTTTATATAGATACGACTGAAACAAAGAATCTCATTCTCAAGGGAATAACACGAGGTCTGTAATGAAAAAAAAAATTGCGCCCAAGGAAGTAGGAATGGAAGGAAGTAAAATGAAGTAAAACAGAGTAAAACAAAAGCCCTTACCACTATCAACCATACGTTGTTTGGTAATGCTATTCAGTGAGCGGTCCACTTCAAAGACACCCGGTCCTGGAGTCACCATAACAATAGTTTGACCTGTGCGGTCAAAACTACGATCCAAGTGATTCTTCTCAAAAACTAAATGAAAAAATAAAAAAGCTGTAATCACACTGTTAAGGGAACATTCATATTGTACAGGCAGGGGGGGGGGGTGGTATTTATGGGGGCACGTAAATAATATGGCATTTGAGGTGGACCACCCAAAAAATAATTAGCTAAATAGAAAATTTATTTTTTTAATAGGGGACAACGTGTTGGGAAGGAGTCATGCCTCTATTTACTTAAAAGTCACAAAATCCCATTAGCCCCCCCTCCCATAGAGCAACATTCACATCACATAACAGCTGCACATGTTACTTGAGCAACCAGTGAAGTTACAGACACAAAATCAAAATATATTTCTTCATCACTGCTTGCAAAAAATTAAGCTTTATGTTCATTGCCTGCATAAATTATTTCCACAAAGATTATACAAATGAACTATGAAAGCAGTTTGCGCTGCTCAATGGTGACATCAATATCATTGTCTTAAAGAGCTTTTATCATTTCAATGTCCAATGCATGTTAAAAAAACACTTCTAGGTCCAAAACAGATCGATTGGTCATGGAAGACATGTTTTGGAGGACTTACTATTCATCGTTAGGTTGATCGATTCCAGGAAGTTCCCTTCAAAAGCTGTAGAGTTATTTCCTGTAGGCATTCCAGGAATATCTTGGCAGCAGTTGATGTACTTAGGATACTGATTGAAGTGGTATTTGAGTGTGACCAGAACTGGTAGCCAGTCGTCTCTTCTCTCCTCTTGAACAAGCACCTGATAGAAGTCTTCGTAGAATCGGCCGTAAGGATCTTGTAGAATGCTTCCTCGCTTCTCAAGTGGAAAGGAATCTAAGTATTGAAAAAAACAGTCACTTCACACAAGATGTCACTATTATGGTATTGACTTCAAGAATGAAGTTTAGTGTAAAGAAAAAATATAAAAAATATAATAAAAAATATTAGCCCAAAATTGCAGTACTCAATAGGGCTATTAAGTTAGTGAATTTCATTATGGCAGTCAAAAAATATTTTTTGCAAGTAAATAATTAGTTTGTCTAACACCAAGTTTAATCCGTCCATCCATGATGTGAATTATCTTCACAATGATCTATTATTATCATCATATCTTGTAGCACCATAAGTGGCATAAAATGGCCTTACCTATAGATTTGCAGTCATAAAATGTCCTGGAGAAAAGCACGATTGTGACTTCATGGTTAGATTTCAGGTCTTTCCATTTGGTAAACAATTCATGCAGAAATCCATTGATGACTTTTTCAAAATACAAGTCACCATTCAGTTCAAAGTCCCACATCTCTTGGCTCATTTGAATGAAGAGAAAGATCTCRGCTGTCAGTGAACGAAACACGACCTGTTTAAAAGTCCAAAATAAATGTCTTAAACAAAAAGACATATGCAAAACCTTCAACTATCTACCTCCTCATAACCAATGTTCAGTATTTAGGAATTTTGAGGGGGGAGGATGGATCAAAAAAATATTAGACTTTGCAATGAGTGGGGGAGGCTATCCACAACTTTAAAAACTCAAATACAACACACATTGCCAATCTCTCAAGACAAAAAATCATTAATGGTTAAAAATCACTACTTGTGTATGACAACTAAACATAACCTGCCAATTATAGAAAAAAAGTAATCCTATTTTCTGGTAAAGCCCAAGAGGACACAAGGTTAGCCAGGCCCCATTTGAAGTGTCCCCTCATCCACACTCCTACACATACTATATTCAATATTATGTAGTGTTTAAAAAACGAGTAGGAGTGTTTTATCAGGTATAAAAGCATGAGGCGTAGCCGAGTACTTTTATACCTGATAAAACACGATCTACGAGTTTTTTGAACTGCTTAAAACACTTATGAACAATTTATAAGATTTTGGTTCAACTGGAGCCACCATACACGTCACTAACATGGATTTTTATACTTCGATAGAGATTTGACGTCACGGGCATGCGCAACCAGAGTGAATAGCTCTATGTCTTCATCTAAACTTGGATGCATACTTCATCCCTGATGAAGTCATCCTCATAGTATTCGAGTGGTCTTTATATAAAGATCACGTGTCTTTATATAAAATCACTTGAATACTAATGAAGAGGACTTTATCGGGTATAAAGGTTCATGCACGTGACGTGTATGGTGGCTCCAATTAAACCATAAGCTTATGAATTATTAATGAGTGTTTTAAATACATTTTAAACACTCACTAATAATTCATAAGCTTATGGTCCAATTGGAGCCACCATACATGTCACGTGCATGAACCTTTATACCCACTATTACTATTACCAACCTTTGTATCCTTGGATATCACTCCACATGTTTTCTGCTTTCCTTTTTTCCATAGTTCATTGATTTGTCCTCGGATTCCAGAGAAAGAGACTTTCTTGGAGACATAGACACACTTGTCGACCAGTGCCTTGGCTAGTCTCCACATATCATTCCTACTTAGGTATTGTTCCTTAACCAGGACATCAACTAAGTCTACACTAACTTCATCAGGATCCACCTATGAAACAGGCGTAGACCAATAGATATAGGTTAATTCTAGACAGTTAACACATATTACTTTACTGTGATCCCAAAATATCTGTTTACATGTAGATACAATGTTATTTACAGTCTACCTCATTATGCTGTCATTATACTCCCATTTAAAGTTTGTCTTTGCTCAACACAAATGTGTTCTTTTCTTTCATTAAGGTCCATTGTATATTAAGGAATGTATGCACTATGGAACAATACGTGTTGAGTAAAATGCCACAGGTTTTGGTTGAAACGCACAACCGAGACAAAGACTGAACAAAGAGAACTCAAAACTAAATTCTCTGTATTTTGACAATTTGATGACAAATGATGATAATTATGATAATATTATTATATTCTTGGGGTGCATGTCATGTTATAGCTGCCTTGTTGATTGAYGATAACAAAGCATKCCTCATTAGCTTCTCTTGTTAGATCAACCAACATGGTGGCTGTTTCATTGGTTTTTTATATATATCTCAAGTGATTTTGAGTCACGTGATTGCACTCCAAGATCAATTAGCTAAAGTAGCTCTTCCAGCAAAATTTAACACAATATACCTTTTTCACGTTAACATTTGAATAAGTACGCAGCTGAAACAAGTTGGCAACAGACTGCTCAATACTGACAGTATCTTTCTGTTGGAAATCACTAATAGAGTTAATCTGTAGCAAGAGTCTTGCGGACCCTTGATCTTCAGGATGGAAGATCTCCAACACATCGCCGACTCTTCCATCAGGAAATTCCTTAGGGTTAATTATCAAATCGTCCTCACTGAATGTATGTTGGTGAACCCAAAGCTTGAAAAGCTTCATTCTGATAGTCAAAAAGCTGTAAGATCCATTTGGTTTCTTAAAAATGTAAGATAAAAGTCAACTTCTTTGAACATTTCCTTCGCACTTTCAAGTCTTCGTTGGAAACTGCTGGATACTTGTTATGTTACTGCGGTCGCATAATAGTACCAGTCGAACGCGCGGTTTATTGCGAAGAACGCCTGGTCGATATCGGTAAATTTTCAAAATTTTCCATTTTTTGCCACCAAAAGTGTTGTTCATAGGTTTACGAAGTTCAATAAAGATGATGCTATGTGCCTCCTATCGCAAATGGTATTAACAGTTTGATTTCATTGCAAAAATGAGTGTCTTAATCTGTTTCATACGACGAGTTGGTGGACCATTTTTCGCGATCCAAACAAGACACTTCAGCTCAAAGCTCAGTGAGGCTGAATCATGGAGTTTGACCGCAGGAAAACGAAGTCCAAGAATCAAGTAAGCTTACGTTTATTAAAGACTCTTAGTTTAATTTATTTCGGCAAAACTCAAATAAACTCAAAGCTGTGAAATAACAGAACCACATGGAACCCAGACTAATCTTCTGTTGTCTAAAAAAATCACGTAAATTGCTATGTACGGAATCTTATGCAGTATCTTGTAAAGAGTTTCTGAGGTCTTTTCTGATAAAGCTGGCTAAAATCACTATGTCATCAATCCTTTTTGCCTCGTGAGGGTTGGAAACTTCCTACATCATTGAAATATATACCTAAAGTTGTTTTATATCCTAAAACAAAGGTTAGCTATCTCACTAAAGGAAAGAAAATACAGAGAAAAACATGACAAAATTCTCCTGGAGGGATGGAGGCTAATCAAAGATGCACTACTTGCCAAAGCCGACACTGTAAACATATTCTTCTCAAATAAAACACTTCTTGAAAGGCTTCCATTAGAGACTGATAAAAGACTATTTATACCAGTTGATTCAAATGTAATGCAGAGGCTGTCATCAACAGTGACTCCACCTGGTATAGTGGGTGTGTTCAAAAGACCTCCGCAGGGGGGTAGTGCTAATAGGCCATCTATAGATCCTCAATATCAGAAGCAACATCTGCCATTGACTATCATTTGTGATGGAGTCAAGGATCCTTCCAATCTAGGTAAGATATTTTAATAGTGTGTCAAACAATGATGACGATAATTATTCAAGGAAGGTTTGGTTTTATTGATTTTCCGAGGGGGCTGAGGCATTTTTGCAAGAAATCATCAAGGTACTAGCCGTGCCTTTTATTGAGGATTTGCAATTTGCAGAAAGTAGCGGAATGTCCGCTTGATTGATTGGAAAAGGATGATCCTTCCTTGAAACGTCCACCATAACTAACGAAAACTGACCCCTTCAGAAGTCGCATTCTTTAGGAATAATACAGTCTTTTTGCATGAGAAATTATTAAATACCCAAGATCGAGCAAAGGGATTTTATTGTTCTGCCACCTAACCACAGGCAGCCCAAGCTGTATTATAGGCGCCGGCACATGATGGTACAAAACCTCTGTTGACCATGTTTATGGTGGCTGACATCAATGCAGCCCCAAGAACTGGAAAACTCAAATTGGTACCGTTGGTTAATTGTTAAACTTTTCTGTCTTTGTATTATTGGCAGGAACTTTAATTCGAGTATCTGCGGCGGCAGGCTGTAGATCTTTGATAACAACGAAAGGATCAATGGACGTTTGGGATCCTAAAGTGTTACGATGTGCTGCTGGTGGACATTTTCACCTTCCTATATTKTACTCGTTGACCTGGCAATCCATTTTGAACCAAATTGATAAAAATACGAGGGTATTTATGGCCGATAGCAGTGTGGAAAGTAAGTAAAATTCTTCTTTTARGAGTTCTGCACCTTGTTTTATTTCATTAGAATGTTTAAATTGGGTTAGCATTCCGCTCAAACTGATATGGTATTGATGGTAATGGTAAAATTACCATTTCTCTTAATTCTCCCATTCATTATCCGTTGTATTCTTAAACTACTTATTCCGCCCCATTTTCTCTTTTATGATAAAATTAATCTTGTTTCGTTGTTCTTCTCAATTAAAAAAAGCTTCCGAAGGAGACACGAGCAAGGCACACTACGAGGTGGACTGGACACTAAGCCTCAGTGCTCTATTAATTGGAGGAGAAACTACGGGGCTTAGTAACGAGGCTCGTAGATTAATACGAGAACGAACTGGCCAGCCAATCAGAATCCCAATGGTTGGAGGTGTAGATAGTCTTAGTGCGGGTGTTGCGGCTAGTGTTATAGTTTACGAGGTATACAGACAGAAACGCCACGAGAACATGAATAAAAAATAATTGATTCCTTCTGTTTAAGTCATTTTTCTCCTTTCTTTTCTGCCCTCCTCACCTCCCTCTCAGTCTCTTCTCCTTTCATATTTAGAGTATTTTCTTGTGGATGATGGCAAAGGTCGAAGAGTTTAAAACTTTTGCCATCATCATCTATAGTCAATGTCCTCTCATACTTAATGTTATACCCTCAACTGCTCCGCCTTCTGCCGCGTGGAAAGATAAATGATACCGATTGTATGTTTTTCTAAAATATTATATTTCAAAACACTACGATCTTTCGTGTTTATGAATTTGTTTCTTGTTTTCTGTGACTTTTTCATACATATTTTACAGTTAGACGTTTCAATCCCAGATCAAGGATCTTCTTCAATATAACGATGTTTACACGAGATCTTTCATGCTTTCATCTTTTATTATTCCTAACTTCTTAAATTTGACAGGATTCTTGTCCTCTTATATAAGTTAACAACTGCAAGTACTATGGTTACATGGCTTGCAAGCTATCCAATCATTCATTCAACTACTTAGTTAATTCTATCATGGGGTTGTCCGGCCTAATATCGTGCTCCTTTTTAGTAATTTGTTTCTTATGCAGGTCTTATCTTCATCTCAGCTCTCTTGGAGGAATACTTGTATCCTTTCCAGTGATACCAGTTGACTCCATCAGCATAGGAACTGTGTTGACCATGGTGGTACAGACCGTTGAGGTTAGAGTTGTGGCAGGCCGTGTACCACCAGGCACCTTTGTGGTTCACTGCACAGTTTACACTTTTATGGATATCGTTGTCACGATCTTTGGTGGTAAAGGCCATACCACGATGACCTGACAATGAGTCACCAGCAGTACCTGGTAAAGACAATAAAAGGAACGGATGAAAAGGATAAGTATTCTCGAATAAATAAAATGCACTCACCAAATCCTTACGAAGATTGGTGAGCAAAAGGAAAAAAGTTTGCTGCAATCATTATGCAAATATTGCATGATAATTACGATCATCAAGTTTCAGTCGAAAATTCGTTATATGACCTACGTACGTGCAGGAAACTGAGCTAAACCGACTGCTCGCTAGCATTAGTTGCCAGTGGCGGATCCAGGATTTTTCAAAAGGGGGCTCCGTTTCTTAAACTGTGTATAATTCTCTTTTGTTTAGTCGATGTTTGACAAAAAGATTGGCTCTAATCACCTAATTTACTATCTAGTATAACGGAACTTAAAGGTAAATTAAACGTTATAAGAGCAAATATCTATCATTTTGTGTTCAACATTATCTTTGTGGATACTTTTAAGCAAAATTTATATAAGACATATTTCTATTACCTAAAAGATCAAACCTTCAAGGGGGGATCCGTGGACCCCTTCGACCCCGCCCCCCCCCCCCCCCCCCCCCCCCCCCCCCGGATCTGCCACTGGTTGCTAACCTTTTTTTTAAGTTATTAACCTTGTTAACCACTCTCCACTCCGCTCCATTCCCTTCCCGCGAAAAAAAGAGAGGTCGAGAAAATTTAAATGCATTAAATTTCCCTCACCTGAATAAGTTCCGATACTCAGTTTGTATTTGCTTCTTTCACTGCTCACAGCAAAGTAGTCGTACTCGGCATAAGCGCTGTTCCCCTTGGTGTCTTGTAGTTCAACACGAAGACGGTTACGAGTCTGATRGGTCAACCGGTTGATTTTATCCAGTCCCAACCAGAACTCGCCTTTCAGGTCACCAAAACCGTTCTTGTAGTCAGCCCAACCTCGATAGAAGTTGACTGAACCGTCTTGTCTCTTTTGRAAGACTGTCCATCCACCTCCACTAGTCTTCTGGTCACAGTAAACCTATGAAAGGAATGATCACAACAAAAATTGCTTTGTATTTCAAATGTTTTTCAAGCCGATATCCAAATTGATACATTTTACCTTGAATGGTCCTCTACCATCAGGATCGACTGTGTAAACACCACTTTCCTTCCCACCTCTTCTAAGAACTTCAGCACAATTTCTGGACACTGAAACTGACAAAGATAAAAAAGTTGTGAACTTTACTTTCGAACGCAGGAAAATATTTCGAATAATTTAGAACAAAGTGGATAAGATGAAGTCATCATGGCATACCATTGGAAGACGTTCCCAACTTTTCCATAATGTTATTCAGCTTCTTGTCCAAGGTCTTCAGGATGCCCAAAAACTGTTTTGACTCAACTGCACTTCCGATGTTGATATTATAGACACCATTTTTCCCGCCTTTGGAGACTTGTGCTCCGTCAGTGACGAGGAATACCCCGATTAGGATTAAAAACGGGTTAAAGACTTTCATTTTCAGTGTCTAGTTCTTTCTCGGCGATACTTGCTAAAGTCAAAAGAAAAAGACTGTGTAAGGATTAGAAAACAATTGCGGAATAGATAACAACTTCCAACAATGTTTTACTGCTACGAACTTGAACAATATAGTACTGAACGTACTGCTTCCAAGGCACTTTTTATTGGACTTTCATATTGCAATACGGCCATCGTGTTTGAACACGTTGAAGCGAAATTAAGTGTTTTTTGTTTGGTTAACCAAGTATGAAAGACGGGTCATCTTAAAATGTTTTTCATGTAGAGTGTTTGACTCTCGTGTAGAGATTTGATTCAAGGGCTCTATTGATTTCTATTGGACATAGCAAAACCTTTAGTTAATGTGTGTACACAGTGAAAACCCTTGTGTCGTAGGATCGAGAGAACCACACATCAAGCAAACTCAATTCACATGTAGTGCTCGCAAGGTTGAGGTGACCCGACCATTTTGACTCACAGCGGTGAAAGACGTACGACGCGTTTAATTATGTAGCGTCCGCCACCCATGTGCTATAAATGGCTGTCCTGCTCGCTTCGATGGCACAGGTATGATTACCTTTAAATTGTCGCAGGGAAATGTGAAGTGGACTATTGACTTTGAATGCTGTTTGCACTCGACTATGTCGTTGTGCATACTTATGCTTGCCAAGGTCTCTGCTCTAACAGAAAGAAAGTAGCTAGGCTTTTAAAGTGCCTATCAAACCTACAGAATCTCTTCCTGATTTCAAAGCTATTCTAACACAAATAAGAATGGCCTTTACTTTCTTTTTGATATCGCACTCTAGCCAAACATAAGATTCAGGCATTTTGAGCTAATTCTCACAGAGATATTCTCTATTTGATTTTTAGGCTTGATAGGCAATTTAACGTTGCACAAACACGTATATGACATGAAAGGACATTTTAAAATTTAATTCCAATTGCAAATGAAAAGTAAACTATAGTCACTAATGGCTAGAACGAAATTCGTAGGCTTAAACCGAAAAACGAGTTTAAAATTCCTGTTATATATTTTTTTTCCAGTTCCCTTAAATTGTTATTTTATGCAAACCCTGGCACAACTTTATGTCTTTATGACTTTGCTGGAGTGCCTCAACCTCAACGGTCTGTACCACCATGGTCAACACAAGTCCTTTGCTGATGGAGTCAACTGGCAAGACTGGAAAGGATACAACTACTCCGCTAAGAGAGCTGAGATGAAAATAAGACCTGCATAAAATCGCAACCAAATCCTTGGCTATTTACCATTTACTTGGCTCGGATTAGATTTCACCGAAAAGAACCGCATTTTGTTAAATTCCATTGGAATTACATGACAAAAGGGGTAACAGGAACGCATTATTCAGTTGTTTACATCAAAAGAAAGTAATTTGATGGGGGGAAAATGTGTAGATTGAAAAAAGYGAAAATAAAACACTCTAGCATGGAATATAGCAGTTTATTAATTTAGGCGGAATCGCTGATTTTTTTATGAGAATGAGGCAGAAGCTCGGGTGGCTTGCGCTGCTAATATGCAGCCTCTCACCAATGCGACCCCGGGTTCGAGTCCTACCGGGCTCAGAGTGTCGTACGTGAGTACAGTTGTTTGTTGGTTCTCTCCTGTGCTTCGAGGGTTTTTCTCCTGGTTCTCCGGTTTTCCTCCTTCCTCAAAAATCAACTTATAAAAAATTCCAAATCGATCTTTGGGCTTTCAACCTATTTCAAACTACTAAAGCTTTATAGAATCAGTAGTACTTCCGAGAGAAAGTAAACTAGTTCATATTCCCTACAAAATATATAGCACCAACGAAACAAAATAGTGGATTAATGGTTTGCAAGCTATCTAATTTAAAGAGTCTACAAAGATTGAAAAAAAAATTCTTTAATTTCATAAAGGACAGTAAAAAAATTAAACAATTCATAATCAATTTTCCACGAACAGAGTTTTTAATTCGGAGATATTTTAACTAACTTGTTGAGCGCGTGGGAACCAATGCTGGTCGGCCCCTGAAAAGAAAATCTCCCCACAAAGAGACCGAAACTTGTTCTTGGCACAGGGAACCCGGCTATATTTTTTTGCTTCTCTTAGAAAAGTAACTTTGCTTTTTCGTGGGTTTCCTGTGTTGTGATCGGATGTAATCAGATCTGCGCTGTGATCAGATCGGCGCTGTAAACTGATAGCCGATTAAATTCAAATCAATAACCGTTGATGTTTTGTTTCTTATGGGTTGCCTGTGGTGTGTAACGCACTTTTTAGTAAGCAGTCAAAAGGAGAGAAGTTCTCTTCTTTTGAGTGTTTACTATAGAGTGCGTTACCAACGGTTATTAATTTGAATTTAATCGGCTATCAGTTTACAGTGCCGATCTGATCACAGCGCAGATCTGATTACATCCGATCACAACACAGGAAACCCACGAAAAAGCAAAGTTACTTTTCTAAGAGAAACAAAAAAATATAACCGGGTTCCCTGTGTTCTTGGGAGGATCTTGGAATCACTGGACATCTAAAAGTTTTAAATTTTTTTTCTTGTACATTGATCGTTTTTAACCTTTGATTTTGAAGTTTTTGGATTGTAATTCAGTCTTTTCCAAAGTATCTCTGCGATTTACTTGAGCCCGTATGCTCCTCAACGCTGTTTGAGATCTGGTTCTAAGAGGTTACTCAAGTTTTCAAATTATAATCTAAAGTCTTATGGATACCGCGCTTTTTCTATTTCTGCTCCAATGCTTTGGAATGCCTTGCCACTGCAAATTAAATGTAGTACATCTTTAAATRTTTTCAAGAGTTATCTCAAAACATATTTATTTCGCAAAGCTTTTCCTTGATCATTCGTTAAATCTTATTGACTTTTAGATTACATAGTTTTTTGATTTTGTATTACAGATATTATTATTATTAATTATTATTATTAATTATTATTTGCTTGTAAAGCGCTTTTGGACATTTTACGAAAGGGCGCTATATAACTAAAATATTATTATTATTATTAATTGTATCAAGTATTGTTTTCCATAGATTGGAGTTCAAGTTTTCTACTTCTCTGGAAAAAGCCGATGCTAAAAGATTGATAAATAATTAACAAATAAATAGAAGGAAAAAAACAAGAAGAAAAAGCGTTAACTTAGATGTAACCAAGTAAATGGGATACTACAAGAGAAAATGAACTAAGASAAGGAATCCCCGTGCCCCATCATGTGCACACTTTGATGCTATTTTTAGAATCATTGATGCTATTTTTAACTCGTTACCATGCCCGCGCGATAATCATGCTTCCCTTTAATGCCTCGTTTTTGAACACGAAAAGCGCCATATTTCGCTACGTCCACGACAAAAAACACAAGCTTTGTTTACTGCAAGACTGGAAGCCGTCTACCCTCAAGAAATCAACCAATCAGGTTCTGCGCTCAAAACATCTCCAAGCTAAAAATAGCATCAAACTGTGCACATGATGGTTACAAGACTATATAGGTAGGATTCCTTCTCTTAGTTCATATTCTCTTGGATACTAGTATTAGAATAAGTTACAATTATCTACTAACTGAATCGAAAAAAATATTACAATTTTTAAAATTTTTCAAAAAGTTAATACAACAAAAATGTGACTTCAAAAGGAACTCCAAAATTGAAAAAAACAAAACAAAACAAAACAAAACGAAAAACGAAAAATAAGTCAAAACATGAAATCTAAAAAAAATGGTCTTCCCAAAATGAAAGAATTTTGAAGTAAAAGTTCAGTTGTGAAACAAATTAGTGAGATATTGCCGAACCTTGCATCTATTCGGCTGTTGGTTATAATGAAGCGCTCAACTAATGACAAATGTCAGAAATGATTCCATCTAAATCCATAACAAAAAGCCTTCAATGCTTAACTAAATGAGATAATATAGGAAAAAATGGAGAGCTATACTGTCTAGTAGACTACTCTTTATGGATTATATGGAATCAACCTTTACGGAAGTGGTCGCAATAATCTGACTCAATCTTACGAGACTTACGAGCTTCTGGGAGTGCGTTCCTAACACCCAGAGTTATTGCAATCACCTTCTCAGTATCTTATTAGGTATTTACAAGAGAATATGAACTAAGAGAAGGAATTCCCGTGCCCCATCATGTGAATACTTTGATGCTATGATTTTTAGAATCTATTCTAAAAATATCATCCAATGATATCATTGATTTGATCGTTTGATTTTCTGCACGCGCATGTACGCGCGCGCTCTACGCTGTTTGCTAACGTTTTCTTGTGCTTTTCTTATGTGAATAATAACATAAAAAGCAGGAACGATACATCAAATTTAGTAAATATATTTTAATCAACCGATGAACAAACATTTTGTGTTTAATTTTGTTCTCTTTTTTTATTTCTTCATTAATTGTTGATGATCTTTTTTTTCTGATCAAAGCTCAGCTATCCAACTCTTTCTCTGTGTACAAAATGAGTCACATATAAGTCACGGTGGGTTAAATCAGGACATAGAAACCATAACAATACAAAGATGAATCAAGATTGGCTAACAGAAAGATTTGTTCACAAACGAGTCTAAAATTCGTGTTTGAGTTTTTTCTGTCCTTGTTCCACTGCATCCAGTGAGTTCTACCCACAATCTGTTGTCCTGTTGTTGTACGCAAGTATCGAAGAGGAAAAGCACTTGAAATGAAAGTCTTGAGTTTTGTGCTGATTTTGATCGGCTTGTTTCTTGTCACTGAAGGGAATCAAGTCATTAAGAGGAAAAAAGATTTTTGTTTTCTGCAGCCTGGTGCCCTTAAAACCATGGAAGAGAAATTAAATATCATCATGAAAATATTGGGAGCATCTAATAAGATAGGAGGTGTGTATGTCACTATAAGTGTTAGACTGTCAGGAAAATTGCATGTCACTGCGRATCTTGCTATCAAAAACATTCGTTTTGTTTTTAGTTCCCAAAAATTGTGCTGAAGTTCTTAGAGGGGGTGGAAAGAAAAGTGGTGTTTACACAGTCGATCCTGATGGCAAAGGACCATTCAAGGTATTCGTATATAGTTTTTAGTAGTTCGATGAAATATCAATTTTTCTCCGTTGTGTTATGAACATATCGCTTTGAATAAAAATTCGAATCTTTACTGAATTTGTGATGTTTTCTTTCATAGGTTTACTGTGACCAGAAGACGAGTGGAGGTGGATGGACAGTCTTCCAAAAGAGACAAGACGGTTCAGTCAACTTCTATCGAGGTTGGGCTGACTACAAGAACGGTTTTGGTGACCTGAAAGGCGAGTTCTGGTTGGGACTGGATAAAATCAACCGGTTGACCTATCAGACTCGTAACCGTCTTCGTGTGGAGCTGGAAGACACCAAGGGGAACAGCGCTTATGCCGAGTACGACTACTTTGCTGTGACCAGTGAAAGAAGCAAATACAAACCGAGTCTTGGGACTTATTCAGGTAAGGGAAAAGCTCACTTCAGAAACTAGTTCGAAACTTTGTTTATCTTGATCCTTTACAGACGTAAGTTTTGGCGGAAATTTCTCATGATAAGGATCAGTAAGAAATATACCATATTCAACGTTTTGCTTTTCTTTTTTTTTTTGTTTTTGTTTTTGCTTTTCAAAAAGAAGTAGCACCTAAATTATTTACAGCGTTGTCCTCCCGCCAATATTAGTGCAACTGAAGGGAAAATACGTAGCCTTTTTGTACATGTATGCATTTTCCCCTTCTCTACAACCTGTAACGTCAATCAAAACTCCTTGGACCGGTCGAACCTTAGATCTTTTTGACTAATCATACAGGTACTGCTGGTGACTCGCTCTCCCAACATCGTGGTTTGGCCTTCACCACCAAAGATCGTGACAACGATTCCGATAAGAGTCGAAACTGTGCAGTGACCTTCAAAGGTGCCTGGTGGTACAAGGCCTGCCATCACTCTAACCTCAACGGTCTGTACCACCACGGGAAACACAAGTCCTATGCTGATGGAGTCAACTGGTACTCATGGAAAGGATACAAGTACTCCGCTAAGAGAGCTGAGATGAAGATAAGACCTGTATGATTCATAAACATGCACTTTATGTCGTGCAGTGATTGATTAGATTTCATTGGAAAGTTAAGAAGTTAAGAAAAAAAACGTCAATTATAGAAGTTAAGAGTTATTTTATCAACGAACTTGCATGTAAGATCTTGATGTAATTCCCCCCCACCCCCTCCCCCTAAAAAGGTATGACAAGAACGAATTGTTTGTAGACAGTAGAGAAACTAAGTTGAATTGAGAACAGAAATCTTGTAGAATCAATTTTAAAATTGAAAATAAAATATAACATTATAGAATATGGCGTTTGATTGATTTGAATTGCCCGAGAAACTATTGCAATGTTGTTGCGACGTATCCTCCTTCGCAGGAATCATCCCAACAGAGAAAATAAGGGGTAGCCTGCGCAGGAGACTAGCTGTGACGATACCAAAGCAATTTGAGGAACCGTGATATAATAAAGAAAATGTGGAGATTTAAGATCGGTTGTTTTTGCCGTATTACTGATTTTGTTTGTTTTTACGCCTATTCACGATTCAATATTTAAACGCAAATGATATCAACTACACCGGATTCTAGCGTACGTACAATAATCCCATGAAAGAGTTCCAACTAGTAAATGTTATTTAAACATTGTATTTTTAAAAACTGCGAATTAATACAGTTTGAACTGATTTTTTTTGTAACTATGACAACTTAATTTATCTTTCACTGTTTTACTGCTACAAACAATAGATGCTGAACAAAGGCACTTCCATCAAAGTAGTTGACATGAGCTTCAAAATTTGCACTTATAAAAATGATTTCATATGCTACAATTAGGTTAACAACAAACAACCCATCGTGTTTCAACAAGTTGTGTCAAATGGTTTGTTTAGTTAACTAAGTGTGCAATGCAAATAAATCTTAAACGTTTCTATCATAAAACTCGATTCTTTAATATCATGTATAGTCTCTTATGACACCATCTCTGATATCGTTTCAAATAAGATGACAAAAGCAAAAAAWATATATAGATAATTTTGAATTTATTTTGCACTCAAGCATTTAGAATTTTAAGCGGCTACAAATCCTTGAAAAGCTGGTTTTTTGTCATAACTTCTTATTTACTTTTAGTTAGCGCACTTCAAAAACCAAACTAAACATATTCAATTCTATTAACCTCTACCTCACACGAGCCGAACTAACCTTATGACATAAAACAAAGAACTTCAATAACAAAGCACGCGCACCAAATCAAACACGAGGGAGCTAGGGGGGGCACAATATGTTGAACTCAATTTGGGGTAGGGAGGAGTTACGATTTTTAACAGTCCCCATTATAGGGCTATAGTTTTCCCAAAGATTTTGCCAAAAAGAAATTTTTTTTCTGCTCAAGGCCCAGCGATTCAACCCTTTCTGCCTTGTGTTCCGAATGAATCGCTTGCGATTTATATTCTAGAACCTTTTAAATCAGTTACCATACTACGTAGACAGGGAGGGTAGATAAACAGAACATTGAAACAACCAAAATAGAATCATTGAAGTTTAGCTGACGAATATAAATTTTCAAAAACAAGTCTAAAATTCGTGTTTGAGTTTTTTCTGTCCTTATTCCCACAGCATCCAGCATCTACCCACAACCTGTTGTCCTATTGTTGTACGCAAGTATCGAAGCGAGGAAAAGCACTTGAAATGAAAGTCTTGAGTTTTGTGCTGATTTTGATCGGCTTGTTTCTTGTCACTGAAGGAAATCAAGTCAATAAAACCAAAAAACATGGCAATGTATACCAATACCAATATTTGGGTGGTGCAGTATATTACAAGCAGTTTTCTGGTGCCCTGAAAGCCATGGCTGGTTCCTTGAAAACCCTTAAGGAGGGATTGAAGGTCATCATGAAAAAAGTGGGAGCATCTTCTAGTACGAAAGGTGGTATGTAGGTCTTCACTCGATCAGCGTTAGAAATTGTGCTAAGAAAAAAATACATTAATTGTCTTCGGAGTGTGGCTGTGTGTGACTGTGCAGTGACCTTCAAAGGTGCCTGGTGGTACAAGGCCTGCCATCACTCTAACCTCAACGGCCTGTACCACCACGGGAAACACAAGTCCTATGCTGATGGAATCAACTGGTACACATGGAAAGGAGACAACTACTCCGCTAAGAGAGCTGAGATGAAGATAAGACCTGCATAAAATCGCAACCAAGTCCTTGGCTATTTACCATTTACTCGGCTCGGATTAGATTTTACCGAAAAGAACCGCATTTTGTTAGATTCCATTGCCGGGAATTACATGACAACTGTAACAATGTTTTCTGGGAAAAAGGGGGCAAGTCTTCTCAAAAATGGGTCAGTCCCCGACACCCTATATTACCCACTTGGAGTAAACAAACAGTCTTTAATATATATCAAGTGGATCATTATATAAAACTACCATTAATACTTTAATAAAGACTAATAACATATCAGGAGCTCCCGTTGTAGCTTTAATCAGTTATTTTTCCCAACATTTGATAATCATTAAATGTTAACTGTTACTAGATTGCTATAAGAAGGAAAAACTCGTTCCCTTTAAGCATAATATGATTTAGCATAAACCTACTAGCATACTATCACGAATACTGCAATCTGATWGGCTAACATACTCACTATCTGTCCTGTGATACTAGATAGCGAGTAGCGAAAAACAAACAAGTGCATGCTCAAGTTTCGTCGAAATCTCTGCTTGTTCTCTACGCGCCTCATCGACTATCTATTGACTCATAGAAAACGAGAACGAGTAGTCTAATTGTCAAATATAATGTCATTCTCAAGCGACTGTATACACTTATTTCAATAAAGTTTGTCACCAAAAACCTAGAAAGCTGTGATCGATGAGAATCATGGGAAATATTTTATATCCAACAAGTAAAGCTTTTGGCACAAACTGCAGCAGTTGAGGATGTTCAGAGGAGGTGAGACTGAAACCATGTGTAACTGGTAGAAGATATGCAAGTCCATCAACAGTTATCAAGCGGTTGAAACAAGTAAAATGTATCTACCCCTGTAGCTTTTTTGGTGACTAACTTTATTGAAATAAGTGTATATATGCAAGTATATCAAAAGTACATCAAAAATTATATGGCACATGAATGTCCTTAAATTCACCAAAAGCGTTATTCAAAATCAATAATATCAAACACACCTATGAAATGAACACTTGACATGGACTTTTTTTTTTTTTTTTTTTTTTTTTTTTTTTTTTTTTTTTTTTTTTTTTTTTTTTTTTTTTTTTTGGCCTTTGTCTTAAATGGCCGCCATTTTTGGCTGCAACACCTTTTAAAGGGAAGGTGAAATTTGAAAAACCGAAGTGACATTTCACCTCACCATCAGACAGACAGACAGACAGATAGTTCAAATGGGAGGAGTGGAGATAAAGGCAAAAGCAAATACGAAATGTGTTCAGAATCACTTGAACAATTTTGAATTAACAACTTTTATTTATTGCATAGAACATTGAATTTGCAATAATATTAACAACTAAAAATGTATTAGTTGTCATTGAACAGTACGTATATTTCGCCCCACTATTCATCGTAAAAGCTATGAACGGGAGCGCTAATTCATGATGAAAAATATTGTAAGGTATGTAAGAGAATTGGAAACGACATTTCTTACATTATTTTAACATGTTAAAACAGAGAAAAGCTTCTGATCATTCGAAAAATTCAATCAGCCGATCGTCATGGTGATCAAGGAGCACTGACCCATGGTCCTGCATGAACATACCGGCCAACAATTACTTGCCGTACCCCTCTTGGTTTAGTCAATTTTCTCTATCTCCATAAAAGTACTTTCTTTTTTTGCGTGCTGAACAAAATAATCGACTTTTTTGGAAGCCTGGCATGGCATTTTGCCGAGGACAAAATCTCTGTAAATGAACCCACACTGAGACTTCCCTAGGGTATGCAAATCCGTTGCGATGAATGCAAGTGAAACTCTTCACAAAACTCATCCATTTTATTTACTTGTTGATATCCATAACCCTGACGAAGACTACAGAAATATTTTTTTAAATCTTTTTTTTTTCTTTTTTACAGTTTTACTTCATTAAAAACATTTACTATAAAATACAGTGATAGGCATTGCCTAGTCGTTGTTATTCCCGGACGGTCATACAATGTCATGGAGTTTCCCTCTTTTGTCGCTATAGATGTAATGGAAACAACCCTTTACAAGAGAATGAACTCAAATTTGCAATAACAATATTGATTTGATAAAATTGATTATTGATTATTTGTTGCTTTAAGTTCCATCGTATTGTTTGTGAAGCAAAATCATGAATAACTTTCACTTTTTGATCAATATGTCGGTCACAGCAGAGGCCTTAGGCTGAAAACACGTTAAAGTTCATGTTCAATTTTCCGCTTTTATCTCTTAATATGCACTAATATTTATGAACCTTTTAATCCAAATCATAGGATTCTTCAAGAATATTTTATTGCTGATCGCGGCTAACAAGTCTTGCCCATCTTTCTGACCGTGGCACCCTTCTATATACAATCGAATCCGGCCTAAGTCCAAGGAAAAGTATTTCAGTTGTTGAGCTGATTTCATTCTCTATTTAAAACAATTGATCAAGTTCACTAGCTCCCATGCTGGTCAGTTTTTAAAGGAATGATTAATTTTATATTTAATAAACATGAGCAGTTGCGTTTGTGGTGCAGGATCATTGCAGTGGCTTTATTCTGATGACTTCTGCTCTGGAGATGGAGAGCTAGATGCATCGCATAATGACAGAGACTGAGAGACCGAGAATCAGAAATAAAGAAAAATTAAATACTGAGAGCGTGAGACTAATTCTGTTGTCTAGATAACCAACTTGATTAAACTAACTAAAGAGACGATGAATATTTCATAATATGAAAAGGAAAAGAGGTTGCTATATGTACATCTGATTCATGTGAATAATAACATAAAAAGCAGGAACGATACATCAAATTTAGTATTTAGTAGATATATTTTAATCAACCGATGAATAAACATTTTGTTTGTTTGTTTATTTATTTATTTATCTAATTTTGTTCTCTTTTAATATTTCTTCATAAATTGTTTTAATGATATGCTTTTTTTACTGATCAAAGCTCAGCTATCCAACCCTTTCATTGCGTACAAAATAAGTCACTCATCCCGATTGCGGTTTAGTTTTTACTATATCATGTAGAGTAGGACAGAGATCGAACAAACTAGAAGAAAACAGGACATAGAATCCATAACAATACATATGAATCAAGATTGGCTAACAGAAAGATTTGGTCAAAAACGAGTCTAAAATTCGTGTTTGATTTTTTCTGTCCTTATTCCACAGCATCTTGTGAGTTCTACCCACAATYTGTTGTCCTGTTGTTGTACGCAAGTGTCGAAGAGGAAAAGCACTTGAAATGAAAGTCTTGAGTTTTGTGGTGATTTCGGTGATGGGCTTGTTTCTGGTCACTGAAGGGAAACAAGTCATTAAGAGGAAAAAAGATTTTTGTTTTCTGCAGCCTGGTGCCCTTAAAACCATGGAAGAGAAATTWAATATCATCATGAAAATATTGGGAGCATCTAATAAGATAGGAGGTGTGTATGTCACTATAAGTGTTAGACTGTCAGGAAGATTGCATGTCGCTGCGAATCTTGCTATCGACCATGAAAACATTCGTTTTGTTTTTTTAGTGCCCAAAAATTGTGCTGAAGTTCTTAGAGGGGGTGGAAAGAAAAGTGGTGTTTACACAGTCGATCCCGATGGCAAAGGACCATTCAAGGTAAAAATTTGTAAAGGTTTGATCTTTCGGCCTTTTGTTTTCGCTTTGAATAAAAAATCGTTTTTGTGATCATTCCTTTCATAGGTTTACTGTGACCAGAAGACGAGTGGAGGTGGATGGACAGTCTTTCAAAAGAGACAAGACGGTTCAGTCAACTTCTATCGAGGTTGGGCTGACTACAAGAACGGTTTTGGTGACCTGAAAGGCGAGTTCTGGTTGGGACTGGATAAAATCAACCGGTTGACCCATCAGACTCGTAACCGTCTTCGTGTTGACCTACAAGACACCAAGGGGAACAGCGCGTATGCCGAGTACGACTACTTTGCTGTGACCAGTGAAAGAAACAAATACAAACTGAGTCTTGGGACTTATTCAGGTAAGGGAAATACTTAGTGTTCACTTCACAAAAACGTGCCTATTTTGAAGAAGCGAAAAGAGTTTGAAACTTTGATTATCTTGAATCTTGAGATTTGCTGCGATTTTATCGGCGATCCTGTCCAAATTAAATAATGGTAAAGAATTTACTTGTAAAGTTTTATTCAGTGACCAAGATTTTCCTAGACGAATGTCTCTTTTGAARGATGAGACAAAAGATTTTATATTTCCGAAAATTGCCACAAAATTAAAATCGCAACAAAAATCGCGACGAAAATCGCCAGTGTAAACGGGGCTTACCAGACTTTGGCGGAAGTTTCCCAGTAAGAAACAGTGACAAATATTCACCATTTTTCATACATCGGTTCACTGGATGGTCAACAATGGTCATCATGTAGAAGTAACGGTAAACATAGCAAATAAAGTTTTAGGCCTATTAAAGCGCACAGTTGGTAGCAAGGACAAAGACATTTTCTGTATGCTATATAAATCATTAGTTAAACTAATTTTAGAATAGGCGTGCCCAGTATGGGCACCGCATTTAGTAAAAGACATTTTAGCTATTGATCGAGAATCGCTCTAGGTCAAAAACCTCGCGAGATGTCTTATGAAGGTGTTATGAGAGAGAAAATTAATGTTTTTACAGACTAAGCTAGACATCAG